ATAATATCCTGAAAGTCAGTGCAGTTTTCACTCCACCATTGATAACAATGTTTTCAGTCAAGCAACTGCAGGAGAAATGTAGAGAAAAACAACTACCACTGTACATAGCCTTCATCACCCCAACAAAGGTCTTTGATAACAGTCAACAGACAGGGCCTTTTTACTGTTCTGAAGAAACTAGGTTGTTCCCCTAAACTGTTGGGCATCATTTGTTCTTTACATCAAGGTATGAAGGCAACTGTAGCATATGAAAACAAAGAAACACCTTTGACATCAACAACAGAGTGAAATGGCTGTTTTAGCCCCCATGTTCTTTAACATCTACTTTTCATTCTTGTTTCTTCATGCATTCAAGGACAGTGATGATGATAGTTTATCTTTGAACAAAACTAGATGGAGGCTTGTTCAACATTGTAAGGTGTAGAGCAAAAACCAAGGCGAAAGAGCTGTTTCTTAAGAGATTTCCTGTTTCTGGATGATGCAGCCTTGGTTGCCTACAGTGAATCTTCCCTGCAAAATTCTCTTTGACAGATTTTCTAAGTCATGCAAGAGCTTCAGGTTAAGACAATTAGTCTCACAAAACCTGTTATCATGTACCAAGGGGTGGAAGAATTAATGCCTAATATAACTCTGGGGGGTAAATCTCATGGCGTCATTGACAGCTTTTGTTACTCGGGTTCTACAACCAGCAGGAATTTTGACCTTCAGACTGAGCAGAATCAGGAAAGCAGCTAAGAATTTTGGCCTGTTACAGAAGTGGGCATGGAATAACAGCAACATGTAATCTAAGGTGAAGCTGCAAATCTACAAGGTTTGCATACTTGTCATCCCTGCTTTATGGTTCAGAAACATAGACTACATATGCTAGGCACATCAAGAGACTGAACAGTTTTCATATGAGATGCTTACATAAGATCCTGAAAATAAAGTGGGAAGACAAAATACCAAACACATAGGTGCTGGAGCGCATAGGACTGACACTCTTAGAAACCACTACCAAGAAGAGAAGGTTGCGATGAGTCAGCCATGTCAGGAGAATGGGAGGAGACTATATCTCCAAGAATATTTTGTTCTGTGAGATTCAAGATGGCTCTAGAAAGCAGGGTTGTACTCCATGGCAGTACCATGGTGTGCAAAAATGCTATGAAGTCATTCAACATTAATGCAGAAAGGTGGGAGAAGCATGCAGAATCCTGTCTGATCTCAAGGCAACATCTGGCACTGGGTGCAGCACAAAATAAAGCCACTTTGATCCAGAGGATGGAAGCAAAGCAAGAAAGAACACAGTGTGCTACAAACCTGGACTCTTAACTCAGACAACACATGGATCTGTCAAACTTGTAACAAGCCGTGTTGTTCTCAAATTGGGCACAAGTAGATTCATCACACACCTAACTAGATCTCTTATGCAAACACCATGATCCAGAAGATCCACAGTTGCCTAGAATATTATTACTCATTTTTTTGCTTTCCCAGCCTATAATTTTCAGCCAGAAAAACAGTACCTGTAGTTCCCACAGACACGGCAACTTTGGGCCAGTAGTGGGGGCCGTGGTAGCTATCTTCCTCACTCTCCAGTAAAGAGAGGCCTGAACAGGTATAGTGAAGCTATAGTTTAGGTGCCAGGGTCACTCCAAACAAGGCACGCTGATGACAGTGTTCCTGTGACATTATCTTCTGAACACACTTGTTTCCCTCCTCATAAATTCAGGTAATCCTCCACCTCTTCAACAATAGGTCTTTATCTCTTGCCACATTCAGCATTTAAGCACAGGAAGAGCAGTGCCTGAACAGCTGTTATCAACCAGCGGTAGCATCTCTCTGCCTTTTCACATGTCCCTTGCTTAAACTGTGTAAAAGAAGAAAAAAGAATGCATGTCATAGGCTTGATAAATTGTGTGTGAAACAATATGCTAGGATATGCAGCCACACATTAACAAACCATCTAGATAACAGTGGTTAGAGACAAAGCAGGCCCCAGGAAAGCTTGGAAGTTAAACTGAAATAAAAACAGTTTCAGGAAACATTTTCTGTTTCTTAAATATTTGTTGTCTTTTAAAAAAAACTGGCTACGGACTGCAGACTAATTTTAGAACGGCTCTTAATTTTTCTCCATACACAAAAGGCAAGAAAAACAGCAAGACAAAATAAGGCAGATTGTCTCAAACCCTTTCAACACATGCTAGGTTAAAATAAATAAAAAAAGTACAGCTGTCTGCCTCATGCATGTTTGCCTCTTTGGGAATAGTGTTACAAGCTTCAGAAATGTCTTTGCTTCTGTAATAAGTCTTGAATTACATACATAAAGAAAAAGGCAATCACCAGATTTATAATTTTTCTATTTTATTGTAAAAAAATTGGTTTCAATTTTTTAAACATACAAGCAGAATTGTTTAATACTCCCCATTAACACTGTTAAATCTAACAAACTGAAGCAGAAATTCAAAAAAAAAATTAACAGCCACAATAGTTTTTATTTACAAATTGAACTTTTTATAAGATATTTACAAGACAACCATTTTACACATTAGAAATGGTATCAAAAGTATGCATTACAACAGACAACCATGTGTCAAATGGCCATAAAACAAGGCTGAAGAGTACAGACAAGCTTTTAATTTTAATTTTTAAAAGGTTTTTAAGTTTTCTGACACTAGTTTAAAACTTGAATTAAAAAAAAAGGTTTTAAACCAAAGAATAGTTCTAGGAGGGAAATTGCAGGGCTTTCTGTTGAGGATTGAATTTCACAGTGTTGTACCCCATATTGGGAGAAATAAGACTATCTTTCCACACTAACACTCAACTGCAAGTTTTGTTTTGTACTCCCCCACCCCAAAGCCTACTTCCCACTCCCACCCCTCCCTTTTGCTGATGAAAAGCTAATATATTAGTAAAAAGGACTGTTACAAAGCTTGGTTGCCTATCTAAATGGCATGGTGATGAAGAGTTCCAAAATGGCTTTGCACTGGGAAGTAAGGCCAGTTCAAGACTAGCAAATCAGAGCTGACGGTCACTGGAATTCAAAAAGGTGTTCTGACCCCTGAAAAAAAGCCACTAATGCACGGTATAACCAGAATGCAAAACTTGCTCAATGCAGACCTGAAAAATGAATGGACATCAAGGAAAGGGGGTGTGGGGGGAGGCTCCAGCTAGTATTTGCCTGTTTTACATTTTGGCTCCTAATTGCACAGAAATCCATTGAGGACACATGCTATCATGCTAAAAGCAGGACACTCAAGAACAGCCTTATTAAAAGGGAAAAAAAAAAAAAGGATGCAGTGTATAGCCCTATTTATGCAACCTCTGTAGCACCAGAGCCCATGCCTCACAAGAGATTTTCCCCTCTAAAGGTGTTTTAGCCTCTCTTCCAGACCCCATGACTGCCTCAACTTCAGTATAAAAACACAACTGTGTTAAGTTACACATTCAGCCTCTCTTCCACATTGCATAATGATACCCCAGATATGGGGGGAAGCGGGGTGGGGAGAAAAAAAGCAATGCCTTTTGTGTTTCTGTATTGTTTATCAAGTTGTTTGTGCCAAGCAGGAAAAAGAAGATCACTGTCTTTACACAACACTCAAAGGAATCATTCAAGTGGGTCAACTTCTGTGGCCTGCTAACATCTTCAATACAAAGTCAACATTTTCACCCTTATACTAAAACTCCTCCCTGGGCCCTTCCCCCAGCCACATGCCCTCCAGAGGTACCACTGCAACTCTCAATCAGACAGGTAAGTGCAGCAAAGGAACAGGGGGAACTTGGTCTTTCAAATCCAAAGAATCCATTGCTCACTCACCCCACCTACATGGACTCTAGTTCACTTTGAAGCCTGAAAGGCCATGAAAGAACTCCGTCTTTGTAATTACAACGAATAGTAATAAATCAGGACTTCAGTAAGAGAGTTACTCAGACTAGGAGCTTTTGGCATCATCCATTAGTGTAAAAACCAGCAACGAAGGCTGGTTTCATAAAGGAAGGGAATCACTACAGCTAAAGCATAGGCACCATTCTAGTCGTCTCTAGCCAATCCAAGCTTCTTACAAAATACACAAATTGCCAGGCAATGCTGTCCTTAAACATTTAAATAAAAATGAACCGAAATTGTGCGTATAGAATTCTATTTTCACAAAAAAAGGCTTACAAACCCCCGCCCCAACCCTCTTATATAGAAAAAATGACATTTGCTGGCAAAAAAGTCTGTAGAAGCATTTTCACACTGGTAACCCAGCTAGGAGGGTCTCACTAAGGAATATGCTAACCGATTTTTGATAAAGGTAACTAACCGTGTGTCTCATGGCAGCAATGGGACACAGTTCTTAGTCCAGCCACAACGTCGCAGTGGTACAGGTTGTTTATGATGATCTGCCATCTTCCCTCAGGATTAATGGGCATTAATGAAGTTGGTTTTATGCTCTCCCTTCCCCACAAAACAAACAGAACGGCAGCCAAAAAAAAAAAAAAAAAAAAAAAA